ATGATCAACATGTTCTGAAATGGCACAACACTGATGGGATATAAAAGACTGGTGTGCTGTTAGTGAAAAATATTAAGCAATAATTAGAGGGCAAACCAGGATCAAGATAGGTTTGGGTGAGGAGTGGTAAGACCATTTTGGAAAAATGTTAGGTAACGTTTTTCGAACGACAGAACAAACTTTAAAATTAAATATTAGAGAGAACTATGTGTTTTAAAATTCACACAAGTGTTTATTAGTTGTACATAGTAAAACATTTCTCTATTTTATTCACAACATTTCACCAGATTTATCTGGTATCATCAGGTGAGAGAGATGCAAGTGTAAAATGCATCACAAAAAGGCCATTTCATGATAAAAATTACTATAAACTATGTATTTACATAAACATTATAAAAACAGATAGCTTTTGAAGTAAACAAATATTAATCCTAAAACCGTAATGTTTTACCTAATCTAAAAATTTATAGATTTACTAAGTTTTAATCATGCATAATCCAATGAACTGAAGTCTGTAAACCATTTGTATTACATGATACAAATATTATATTAAAGAACTGTTAAGGAACATACCTGTATGAAAGTCAAAGCCTGCTTTGGTGAGGAAGATATCACTCACTGAAACCTCTGCACTTTGGCTGTCCACCAACACTAATTCACATTCAAAAGGTGGCTTGAATTTAGATGGCAGAACACTGTTATCTCCACTTGCACAATTGTCACCTTATACCACCATAAAGAAAAGAAACATTTCAGTTTCAAGAATTTGTGATCAGTTTTAAATTTCATTAAAATTAGTTAAACAGGAAAATGGCCAGATGAAGTAGAAGTTTTAAAATTTACCAGTTAAGTCATGTGAATGATGAAACGGAACAGTTTTAAGGTTGATCAGCCGAATCATGTACACAGAGAAACAACCAGATGAAGCTAGAGTTTTTGGATGCAAAGATTGTTTTCAGTCATTTTTATCTATACATGGGTAAACACTAAAAGTAAGAAACAGCTTGAAGTCTCATGCATTCTTCAAGCATTTGTTTCTTAAAATTTTGCTTTGAATGTGTTATAGATATCACAGTTAGGCTTAACTTTGTGTACCAGCTTGAATGGTAAACTTTGCCATGAGGCTGTCAAATGAACTTTATTTAATGTAATTTTCAAAAGGAAGATTTAGGCTATTAAATATACAAATTTTTACTAAGAGGCAAAAGATTGTGGGACAGATTACATATTTTTTTTCACAAAACTTTTATACATTTTTACAAATATTTTATGCATGCTTTTTTATATGATTTTTCATGTAAATTTTTTTAAGTATCTAAACTAATTAGATGCTTAATTTCAAAGATTTTGTAGAAACAAAACATCTTAATTTCTATTAAGAATGGTATACAGGATATCTATGAAGAATTGAAACACTTTCGAAAACCATACAAGGAAAACCATTTAACAGACACACACTGTTTGTTGCACGTGCGTAAATAAGGTAAGTTTTACAGCATACAATCATCAGAGTTCAACAAGTAAACCACAAGTTACATGCAAAATATTTAGTCTGTACCCAATCTCTTGCCAAGTATTTTGCCACACTGCAGAAGTAACTTTGTGAAGGCTTCTTAGATATGTTGATGCTTACTTACAAACTTACTAGCATAAACCATATCCTGTACAAAAATCCATAAGCATAACACCTGAGAATGTGGCAGTCAGTTGATTCAGACATGTTAATAACATTTATCACAACTGTAAAATAAACATTATTTTTAGGGTGCAACAAACCTTACATATCTGTGTTAAATTGTTTCCCCAGTATGTTTTTCAAAATTGCTTCCAAAATTCTTGAACTCCCTGTATACTAAGCACACGAAAAATGATACATTAAAATACACGGTAGTGTGTTGTGTGGCCAAAACATTCTGCAGGACACCCTGTGTGTTATTATCAGGAGTGATAGTTTAGCAATTTTCCATTTTCTGTAGCTTCGACTGCGGTAATCCAAACTATCACATATTTTCAGTGGATGTGCCCTTACTTCGCATACCAGATTTTGAGGCAATCCATTAAGAAATACCTGAGACATAACATCTCCAATTTTTATTGAGTTTCTTCCGATTTTTTTTTCCTTCTCATTAAAAGTACGGAAATTTTATTTGATAGAAAACATACTCAACTTTTTGGGATATTTTTCAAAACTGGTACACTGATAGATTTTTATAACCTAAAATTAGGATCCTTATTTGGTGTGAATATATACCACATGTGCAAAGTTATTTTAAAGAAATGCTCATTTTATTGGTCTGTTCCAAATAATAGGGTTGCAATTCTAAAACTAATGTTGGGTACTATCAAATGTCACTTTCTTATTTGCTGTGGTTTGATATCTAAATCAAAAACACCTTAGGTGTGAAATAAAAGAACATGGGCAAAAAAGTACTGAGAGTGTGACTTAAAGGAATGAAATCAAAATTGGCAGCTGAAATAGTAACTACACTTATAGCATTGATAAGAATTATACATCAAATATTACTTCATTAGTTAGCTAAGCTGTGTATTTTGTTTTACCCACCATCATGCCCCAAGTTGAACACAAAAGTACAAACTTTTTTTATGGACAAAAATTTATCTTTTTTTAAAAACTAATGTAACAATATTACTTTAATCCTCACTTTTATCAAATAATGAAATTCTACATTTTCTTTAAATGTTCAAAACTTTTGCAGTTATATGCTATCAGAGGTTACATAATTGTACTAATACTTGCCTTAATTCTTTTCTACTAGTGAAATGATAAAATGTATTTGATATTGGATTTAATTACAGTAAGTTCTCTGTTTATGTTGTTTCAATAGAACGTTGTCAATATTTTACGGCACGATTTTTTTTATATATATAATTTTTTCCCCTATAACATTGTTTTAAAATTTTTAAAATGTGCCCAAACTTTGCTTTGAAATAAGAGGCATCCCAGAGTCCCGCAAGCAAGCATCAGTCCAGTTGCCCACCATTTTTGATACTGTGACAAATTAACTTGTCACGTTCCATGCATTACAATTCCAAACCACCCAAACTCTTCTTCAAGCATGTCTAGGAAATGGCCAGCAAGTACGCCAGTGAAGAAGGTGCAGAGCACAATCAGCTTAGAGGTGAAAATAGATGTGTTAAGACGTTTTGATGCTGACAAACATGCAGTGAATATTGGCCACGAGCTTGGCCTACCCCCGCCACCAAAGTAGGAACTATTTATACAAACACTGATAAAATTAAAGAATGTGCTCATAATGTGACTCCATTAAGTGCTGTTAGAATACATTTTATGTCAATGTTTACTGATTTAGCTAGTTTAGTTTATTTATTTAGTTATTAATGTGGCAGTATGTTTATGTCAATGTTTATTGATTTAGCTAATTTAGTTTATATATTTAGTTATTAATGTGGCAGTATGTTTATGTCAATGTTTACTGATTTAGCTAATTTAGTTTATTTACTTAGTTATTAATGTGGCAGTATGTTTATGTCAATGTTTACTGATTTAGCTAATTTAGTTTATTTATTTAGTTATTAATGTGGCAGTATGTTTATGTCAATGTTTACTGATTTGGCTAATTTAGTTTATATATTTAGTTATTAATGTGGCAGTGTGTTTATGTCAATGTTTACTGATTTGGCTAATTTAGTTTATATATTTAGTTATTAATGTATGTGTTTGAGTATTTTTTCTGTAAATTATGAGCAACTAATATCTCACATGAATGTATCCTTTATTTATATCAATGGGAAAATCAATTTCTCTTTACATCATTTATCCTAAAATTGTTTTTTTAAGGATACATCCCAAATCTAAATAAAGGACTTACTGTACAATCAGTTTGATTCAACAATATATATTTTTTCCATTAATCATTCCAATAAATATATGATATCATGACAGCAAAGTTAAGACTTTTATCTTGATAATTACTTTACCAAAATTTTCTACTACCAGACTAAAGTTCTAACGGGTTAACGTTAACGAGTTTAGTGGTGTTTCAAAAGGAGTTTCTGAATATCTACAATTTTACCTTAAATCTGTATAGGCCTAGAATTAAACTATTATTATTATTATTACTTGTGAAAACTGCACTACAGCCTAGGAAATCTGTATCACAAATAATCCACTAAAATAATAATACAAACCTATTATGTTTGACTTCCGTTTTTCAGCTGCTTCTCCAAGGAATACAGAAATTTTATATGGCTTTTCTAAATACGCATTAGTAAAATATTGGAGTGACCCTTTATCAATGGTAACCGTTGTCAAGGGGCTGATCTTCACCTTGCAAGTAAATTACAAACCATGCAAACAATTTTAATTTCTCACAAAAAACAGTGATAATTATGTTCTTCTTTAGAACTGAATATTTTTAATATTTGTAATTTTACTTTTTGTTTAGATGCAAGGGTAGTTAATTTTATCAAAACCCACAGATCTTCACCATATTTTACAAATTAATAAAAAAAAACTGTAAAGCACTTGTTTCCTCTACAAACTGAATTTTGTTTTCAATAATTAATTTTTTTAATATCTGGAATGACTATAAAGATCAGGATAAACCTTCTTCTTTATACATTTACTAGATGTTGTTACCTTTATATCTTTTGTATACTAAAGTTGAAAATATGAAAACATGATTCTGAATTATGTTCTCCACTTCCAACTAGTTTTCATCACTTTTATTCAATATCAATTCTCTCCAATTCATTTATCATCAGTTGATATTTGTATTTATGGCAAAGCTATTAAACAATACCTGCCATCATCTCTAATTTAATTCTACTCACCAGGAAGAAGGCAAACAGTCAGTATCATCCTACTACCAATGCAAAGGGATTGATGGTTACTCTTATTCCCACAGCTTAAAGTGCAAAATACAGAGCTCTAGCACAGGGTCAACTTTATCATCAGATAATGAAAAAAATTTATTATTTTCTGGACTTGCTAACACATTTGTTATCATAACTTAAAACATATAACAAGTAAATCCTCAAATTTTTAAGAACGCGTCTGTTTCTAATTATTAATTGATTGAAGATATACTAATACAATGACAAAGATTTCAAAATGTCCATAAGAAAATTTTTCTCAACAAAGTAAAAAAAAAACACTTACCTCATACTGGGTCACAAATACACCAGAAATGTTATAGTTAATCACTCCCACACCAGGTTGTAAGGCTACTCCTACTGCCGTTGTTGGATTAATGTGAATAATATTTTCATCTGCGGAGGACCAGGTTCCATGGTGACCTGCATGTCATCCACGTTTAACAAATAAATTAAAAAATATAAAAGAATTCAAAAATATCATATATTGGTAACTAATTAGGACAAGTATGTCAGATACCTTGCTTCCAGATATTTGTACTCATTTTTTTTTAAAAAAAAGAAAAGTTATTTAAAAAAAATTGATTATAGCAACTTCAACTTTTTTGTGCACCATAAAACTATAAAAGTAGATCTGGTATTGTAACTACAGTGATATAATGAGATCTACATACATGAGGAAAAATAATGTTTATTTCTAAAAAAAAAAGATGTTTTGTCTTACAATTAATTATTATAAAAATATTTGATTAAAAAGAAAATGCCAAAATTCCATTACTTGTCATCATTGCTGAAAACATACAATTATTATAATCACACAACTGAAAATCTGGGGTTTCTGGTGACAGCTTTTGTTAAACATCAGATATGGAAAAATGCTTATACATTACAGTCAATATTGCTTGGATGATGTAAACGGTTCATTTGTTGTATATAGATTAGAGAGGACTATTATTAGCTTAAACAGTTTTGTTGTGCACTTTTACTATGTGGAGAAAACCTTGGTAGAAATGATATACATTTACCTTCCCGAGATACCAAAACACTGTTGAAGCAAATCACATCTCCTACTGTGATGCTGGAAGAAATGGGTTCAACGGCATGTCCAACAACAATATTCACATAATCTACCAACTGTGGGTTCTTAGAATCCCATACCTGGAAACAAGGAGATGAAAATTAAGAAATTCCAGAGATAAAACACTGCAGGTTATCTTCATTTGTTCAGTACAATAATGTTAATAAAATTCACCAAAAAAAACAAGATAAGTACCTTCAGTACGGTGTTCCCAGTTTTCAGAGCTTTCGCAATTAAAGTTCCATTTTCTGTTCCTTCAGTTAACCAAACGAGATCAAATCTGTTAATTTAAAAAAAAGAAACAGCAATTGTTTTTAATATTTGCTGAAGTAAAAACAATCAAAACTAAGGAGAATATTCACTAATGATGCAGCTTATCTCTTGATATATCTTATTATAAAATCAACACCATATGTACTGTTAAAGACAAACTAAGTTTCAAAATTTTCCTGTGTGCTCATGAATGCACCACACCAATAGTAAGTAAACAGTAAAATTTTAAGACTTAGAAAGCACCTAATAAAACTTTATTTTGATATCATTTACAGTATGAAATGTGTGTACAAGATGAGGCACTCAAAAAGTATGCATATAAGAAAGTAAAGGTGTTAACCTTAGAATTACAAGGCAGATTCTTTTACTTTGTCTTGCCATCTGGGTCCAATAAACCCAATAATTAATACAATACAGCAACTTCAAGGAAAAAAAAAGGAAAGAAAATATGCACAATTATATATAAGTTTATTATTTTATTTGTAACCGTATTTATTTCACCATTTTCTTTATCTAGACTGGGTCCATTAGACTTGGTCAGTAATTTCAGAGATAAGAGAAGGTTTCTTGTTAGTGACATGTTTTAATGTAAGTGAGGTTTAAGGACATATCTATGTTCAAACTTATATTCCCATAAAGTGACGTTAGTAGGAGAGTGAGCTATATTATATCTGTGTTCACACCCACTTTCTCTTAGACTTGTCCTCAATCTGGCTTTAATTTTACACCAATATTAAATTGTGATCTGTTGAAACTGCAACCCTCAGTTATATCTGAATGTTAAACAATAAAACATGAAATGAATTTCAAGCACACAAGACTACAAGCATGATGAACCTCAACTACTGCACATACTACCAACTAATGCATAACAATAAAATAAAACCCTTCAATCAAAAATACACAATAAACATTTCATATACAGGTAAAACCCTATTAAATGCATAAAAAATAACCAATTTTACATATAACTACAAAATAACCATTTAATTTCAAAATACAATATATGTGGAAACTAATTCTTCATTAACATATGTAGAGTTCACACTTAAATCAAACATACATTAATAACAATAGTTTAAATATAACACAAAGTATATATATACATATAGAATTTTTGGTTAGGAACTTTGACATACAAGAAAAAAAGTAATACCAAAAAAGTAAGAATGGTCATAACAAAATTAAATAAAACACCAATTGGGGGAATGGAATATGGTGATAAAGACAATGCGCAAAACAAAAACAAAATGTGGCAACATAAATCTGCTGACCATATGGATATATATATATAATAAAACACTAAATAAAGTAATGTCCCAATAAATAAACTTGAAGTAAGCAAAAGCTACGCTCAAAAGAAACTCCTCTGAGATGGAGACTGCTGGAAACAGTGAAATTGTCACTGAAATCAGCTTGAAGGTTGCAGGTACAACTACAACCAGAGTTTGTGATGGTTTTGTTGTCTGCTGTTCTGGGACCACTTCTGGTTCTTTTATTCTTACCAAGAAATAAACACTTTTAAATTAAGATCCTGTTATTGTTATCATGGTACTGGCCATGCAATCAGCTGTTGTTTGTATACACAGACATGCTCACATATACCTTCACATTGGCTGTTACGACTCAGTTACTATTGGTCTAGACTGGAAATGTTACATGCACAATAATATATGACATTTTTGAACTATGTTATGGCATATCGACATCAAATATTTGTAACTGAGAAACTAAGTCAAAGTTTTAAACATTAAATTACAAAACTGGATATTAATTATAAGCAAGTTCAGATTAGAAAGAAGAGTAACAAATTTGATTGTGACCTAAATTGCATTTGATGAACTACTTTGTGTAAAATAACAAGGCCACAAGGGACAAAGGGAAGAACAACATTATTGAGATGGAGCTTGAGATTGAAGGAGGGAAGAAAGAAAAGGTAAAACAGTTTGCTGTGGTCCACTGCAATAAGTGATTGAGGGCAGTCTGAAGCTGCCTCTCAATAAACCACATGTTCGATGACTAACATAAGATGTAGAAGTTATTCACACAGAAGCTGTTTGCAACAGTAGGAGGAAGTTGAGTAATAGCATTGATTTTCACACTAAAAAAGACACAACTCTGAGAAACTCAAAGTTCCTGTGTAAAAGAATGAGAAAGGGTCGAACCCACACGGACTTAAAATTGCCTGTTGTGTAAAGAATTATAAATACAAATGGGCAAATGGCCACGTAACTTATATGAGTGGAGATCCCATAAAATGATATACCTCCTTGTAGTTTTGTAAGCCTTCTCAAGATCAAAGAAAATGGAGACAAGATGTTCTCTCTTGAGAATGGATTTCCTTATCGAGGTTTCAAGTCAAATCAGGTGGTCCACAGTGAAGTACTGTCAACAGAACCCACACTAGGTGAGCGAGAGGACGTTATTTGATTCAAGGAACCAAACAAGACGAGCATTAACCATCCTCTTTAAGTCCTTACAGAGATAGCTAGCCAAAGAAACTGGACGATAATTAGAAGGAATCTTGGGATTCTTCCCAGGCTTAGAAAAAGGGAGGATAATAGCCTGGCACCAAGCATCAGGAAAAACATTCTCCTTCCAGATCTGGTTAAAGACAACTAGAAGAAGAGCAAGAGAGGCAGGAGAGAGATCGCACAGCATCTCATAGTGACCATCATCAGGTCTGACCAATGTACTGCCAGACCAATGAAGAATAAGCTTGAGTTCCACAAGCGTAAGGAGGCAATTATAGTCATAGAAACAATTGGCCCGAAATGAAAGGAAAGAGGTGATCACTCTGCACGAAACTTGATGGCTAAGAAGGCGGGGGAAGAAACAGAAAGGCTGGAAAGATAAGAAAAGCTCTTGTTGAGAGTATCTGTGATGCTTTGTACATCACCAAGTTCCTGGCCATTGGAGAGCAAGTTGGAAAGGGGATGGGAAGCATAACTCCCATTGACCTTCCAAATCATGTCCCATATGACTTTGGAACTGGTAGTAGATGTGAACTTAATCCAAGATTCCTTTTGGCTTTGACATCTGACCCGCTGGAAAACAATGCGGTTGGAAAGAGTGGGATACCTGTGAAAGGTATCCCATGCCCGTTTCTAAGCCTAACGTGCCTGCTGGAGACCACCATGGACAAGGATACCATGGGAAACGTGTCAAGGTTTTGGGTACAGAATGAACAGCTGCTTGAATGATGCAATTGTTAATGGATGGAAGAATAATAACAGCAGGATCGAGTTCTGAGATAGAAGTGAAAGAGAGAGTCAGTTGGTCTCGTTCAACTTCCACGATGACACTCGGGTCGGGTGGCATTGGCCATGGATAATCTCCTTCAAACTATAGGAAAATGATCACTGCTTCATGGGTCACTGTCAACCCTCCAAGAAAAAAGAGAAAAAAATTAAGGGGAACAGACAGACAAATCAATAGCAGTAAAAGACTAACTAGGTGCATGAAAATATGTAAAAGAACCAGTATTGAAGAGAGACAGGTTGTGATCTGAGAGCATACTCTCCCTACCATCAATATCGGCACCACCCCAAAGGGGATTGTATCCATTAAAGTCTCACAAGATGAAAAAGGGAGATGGCAACTGTTTGATAACAACACCAGAACATGAGGAATTCAAAGTAACATGGGGAGTAGCCTCAATGAGTGTATCCCCAATGGCCTTCAAGAGAAGTTCGTTGTGTTTTAGTGTGAATTTTTCCACCAAGATGTCCCCAGAATGTAGATTCTTAACTGACTTTGGGGAGCCAGCAAGTCACTTTAATCTCTTCTAAATAAAAAAAGAGACATTTATCCAAAAGGTTTGTCTGAAATGGAATGCAAGATTAAAAAAACGAGGTACAGGTTCAGAATGGGTTGACGAAAACAATAACATTTTAAAACATAAAAACATGCTGGAATTGCTTTATTCGTAGAATGACTTTTTTGTTATAATTAACATCAATCAATGCCAGTAATCTCCTATGACTAGATAATGGCTTGAGGTAGATGTTCTGTAAGATAAATCACAACACCATACCATCTCATCTGGATCAGCAAAGTCGGGTCGCCTTGCACATTGCCCACCATACCATCATAATGCCACAGCTTGTTCTACATTATACTCCATAGAACCTGGCCCTTCAATGGAAACTTCCACGAGGTAGTTCTAGGTGTCTGCAATTAACTGAACTCTCCAATCAGATTTATCCTAGCCATTGCAGAAAATCCCCTCTCACAGACTGCATTTGAAACTGGTATACACAGAATGATTTCAGCTAGCAGTGTCTTTCAAGTTGGGGTTCAAGAAAAGCCTGTGACAGAATTCTTGAACACTAATGCCTTTTGGCTGCTTCTTCATATGAACTTTCAGAGCTGACCATTCTGCCTGTTTCAAATGTTAAATATCACATCCCATCCTATTTAAAACTGTGGAGTAGTACACACACAGGTTATTTACTTCATTTTCTCCATACACTGCAATATCAGGATCAGTTTCTGGAAGGTTGACTTGATAGAAGACTTGTATATCCTTCATTATATGTTCAGAATCTATGTCACCAATCCTCATATTCACAAAAATGTGGAAATTTTGTTTTGTCTTGAACTATTTCTATATTAAGTGGGAGTATAAAATTCCACACCTTGGAATGTATTATCTGCCTCTACACTGTCTAAAAACATCTTCAGGTTCTCTCCTGGTCTTTACTGCAGTCAAGATGTTTCAAGGGCTTCAATACGGTAGGTAAACCACAGCTATCCTTTTGAAACTGAAATGAAGATAGATAATACATCCTTTAGAAAGTGCATGTAATGGATAAGATTATGGTCTTTCAGATGTTTAAGAATCAGCTTGGCTCTGCTCTGAACATCCACTGTCCCACCCGTATCCTCTACAGTGTTCTCAAAGTGAGGAATAAACACCAATTACTACCATAAAAGGACATCAAGACATTCACTCAGATGTGGCATCCATTTGATACCTTCCAAATTTACTGGCTTTATCATTTTCACCATAGCTTCAGCTAACATTTGACACTCTCTCAATTGTTTTGCACTGCAATGAGTGTTTGTGTAAATTCAATAAAACAGTTTTAAGATCACCAAAGATCTCTATCCTTCATTGCATCTGATACACCAAGTTCCAATCTGTGACTTACACAGTGCAGGGCAACAAGATGAGCCACTTATTTTTTTAAGAGTTTTACTACACTGCTTTTTCCAAAGTTCACATTTGCTCCATCTGAACCAGTGGTGATTAGTTTTTCCTTCCAGTTCCAACCTGCATTGCCCACACTGTTTCTTACAGACTCTTATTGCTTCCAAAACACCTTTAGCATGAGCATGCTCTACATTCTTTATCTTTATAAAGATATTTTTGGCACACCTTCCACCACAACCGAGTATACACAGTCTCGTGATTTACAAATGGACACACCTGTCACACCATCAAACATTATAGATAACACAGATGCATTCTTCAGTAAACTGTGTGTTTCTTTTCGGTTTTCCTCATATATAAACCCTGATCAGTCCATTAACTATTTGGCAGCTCAACACCATTCTTAGCTTGTAAATCAAGAAGGCTTGGGTACAAAGTAAAGGGCAGTTCATTATTAGCACTGAAGTAAGCAGTGTTAAAACAAGTGAGCAACTGTGCTTTCTGACCTTCGTTTAGCCTTCTGATAGCAACATCCAGAGGTCCAACTACTGCTAGTTGGAAAGCTGGTTCTCTGGTACTAGAACGTGCACCTACACTCATTCCTGTCTCCACTTCTCCAGTATATGAACAAAACATCGTGCTCAATTTCTTTTTCATCATTTCAAGTCGTGCCTTCTTTGAACTGGTATATGTAATGTACTTGCATCATGTTGTTTCAACGAATCAATTCTAAAATTAATCGCTCCAGTGACAAATCTACTCTCCTTAAATTTTCTATGTGGAATGCAATACATCAGATCTTCACTCTCATCGTGTTCTACCTATTTAAATTCATTCTTCCACTTAGGATAGAACATTCTTTTCTTTTTCCTTTTTTGTCATATTTTTTGGTTTCATTCCTTCTTTTTGATGTCTTTTTCACTTCTCCTCCTTTCTATTCCTCACCCTCCAAAGAGGTAAAACTGAATTTAAATAGACATTCCTACTTTCACTTCCTGTCATGAGGTAAACAGTCTTAAAATGGTCGAGAATGTTGTAATAGTTTTAATGTTCATTTAATTCATATAACGGAATACTTTTTTCATAATATTCAAAAGAGCTTAGAACAAACTTAATTAACTTTTTATTTTTTCAATATTTAACATCGAATTGAAAACTAAAATTTGTAAGGTGGTTGGAACTAAGAATAAAGGCTCAAAATTGAAGTTTAAAGTTAATCTCCAGTTAAGCCTAATTTAGGGTTGTGGCAGCATTTAATAGGCAGACTGCTCATTAGTGATACAGAGAGGTAATGTAACATCTCTGAAAATAATTGTGAAGTCATATCTGATTTACTTAATTAACATTCACATGCAATGCCAACTATGGTCTCGTTCTATTAGACCCTCTTTCCTGTAAAATGTGGTTGAACGAGACCATGTAAACCAAATGTGAGTGTGAATTGGATTGTTAACAAGAAATGCTGCAGGAAATGTTCAGATTAAAAAATGTAGACAGTTTTTGTGACAATTTAAAAGAAATTGCAATTAATGGAAAATTGTCAGCAGGAAGGCCAATGTTATATGATAATAAATTTACCAAGACCAGTCGGGCTACCTCGGCACAGATTCAGCACAACCGGACCCAACTTCAACTACACTTGGACGTGCCTTAATGTAGAACCCTGCCAGGAAACTCTACATGCATTTGTATGTGAGAGCATTTCTTTGGTGTCAGTTTCAGATGTTCAAAAACACCATGTTCAAGTTTTCATACGCAGCTTGTAAGACATCACTATCATTATAACCAAGTTATACAACTTCCATCAGCATCTCAAAAGTAGTTGGTGTACTGTACAGGTCAAATATGATGTAAAATTCACAGAAACCTTTTCTTGTGCTAAAAACATCCTTTGATATGCTTTCATCATTTAGCTTAACCTTTCAGTAGTTGAAAGCAAGAGTTAGTTAATTAAATTAGCAAGATCTTTTCAATGTATCTAGACACTCAAGTGTGGCAATAACCAGGCACTGTTAAAAATCCTTTAAAATCTGACTTATCACATGCTCTAAGGGAGCTCTTTACAGGATGTGTCTTCAATATGTAGATGTTGTTGGTTTTCTACCCAGTCAATTACCTGAACCAACAAATATTCTACCTGCATAATCTTCAATGAATGACCTCAGACATATTTACTGCATATTTACATGTTGGTTTATTGTTATTATAATCAACTAGTTTGAGTTACTTTGTTTTCACACATCACACATTCTAGCATGCAACTTTAACCATAATTTAACATTCAACTTTGACCATAATTTAACATGCAACTTTAACCATAATTTAACATGTAACTTTAACCATAATTTAACATGCAACTTTTAAACCATAATTTAACATGCAACTTTAACCATAATTTAACATGCAACTTTAACCATAATTTAACATGCAACTTTAACATGAGATCACCATAATTACAAACCATATCCAGAAGATATCTTGCTCTTGGAGCCCAAGTGAGCATAACTTGGTATTCTATCACAACGCTAGCTATCGACACAACCCAGCAATGTATCCACTAAACACCACCTCAGAATCTCAGTGTCAGTGGCTACATACACTTATATGATCCATTAATTGATTTTGCACATATTTTGGTCACCATTTTATAGTTTCCCCACATAACTGCATTCATTTGCTACACTAACAGATACTTTTTGTAGATCATCTATACTTAAATGACAACCCTTGAGCAAAAACCCATAATGACTAGTAATAATTCACACTATAACAGTGATAGAGGCAAGCTTCTCTGTTCGCTATTGGTGAAGAAAAATGTGTTTGCTGGTGCAATGCATAATCAAGTGGTTCAAGTTGCTCTTGTATCAAAACCATGCTCAGTCCAATAAAGTTTGAACAGCACCTGAAGACCAGGCAACTGCTTTTCTCTCCTAAAATCAATAGTTATATTTGAACTACTTTAAACTAATGAATCTGATTGCACTTTACAGCCTCTTGTCTCCCTCTCCTGGTCTTTTTACCAACCATTCTCTTTATTTGATGAAAGTGGGATTTTGTGCAGACACAGGAAATAACATATTCTGTAAGTGATCAAACTGTCCACACCCACAACAAGCATCACTTCTTCATTGTTCAGTTAAGCTTGATCAGGAGACTCAAGCTATTCCTGGTATTTTGTTATTAGCCATTCAGGCTTAACCGAGTCATTGTATCAGTAGGGATAACACAGTCTGTTACAGTTTCTTTGTAACATGGCAAAGACATTCTTAGGGACTGCATTTCCACCACAACCACTGCAATCTTTCTTCATTTCAGCAACTACTATCTCATACTTCATTGTTACCAAAATTTTCAATATAAGAATTTTTTTTACTAATGAATAATATTACATAAAATAAACTTTCCAAAGCCGAATTCTTGCAGTTAATTAAAACTCAGAACAATCATACAAATTATATGTTAGTAAATCTCTGTAAAATGAACATATGTATGGCATTAATATATATTATTAAAAGTAACTATTACTGCAACATTTTTAAATTTTAGCAAATTATACAAATATGGTTTTATTATCATATTATTAAAATAACAATATTAGTTCAGAAAAATCGATTTAATATAAATTCATTGGCTTTTTTGAAGCACAAATAATTTCCATTTTCAATCACAGATGTTTCTAGGCTAGAAAGAAAAACCATAAAAAATATTTACAAGATTTATAAGATTTATACTATCCTTTTATTGTGACAAAGACATTAACAAATACTAGACAGGTTTTTCTATAGTGTCTTTAAATTGTTTTATAAATCAATGAAAAATATTTCACACTTCTACATTTATATACACTACCTGCTTGGTCTGTACTTGATCTTTGTATTGGTCATATGGAATTTTCTCCCAAAGTCGTCATGGGCCGATACAGAAAACATAATGGTCAACCCCACTGGGATTACAGGCAAAGAGTGGTTAAGGGTCTGGATAACGCTTTGAGCATTTATCATGAGATGAGAGACGGGTTTTACCTGATCAAATAACACACATATTTTAAGAAAGTAAATTTAATAATAAAATTTAAAAATTTTTGAAGGACATAAAACAGAGAAATATCAAAGTGGATAATTCCATTCTTCTCTGAAAATATTATGCTAGATATAAAAAAGCACTTCCACAGTTTTTTTTTGTTCTAAATGTTCATTATTCCCTTGCTATAAAACAGTTTTCAAACTAAAATAAACCTGAAAGCTTCATGCTTAAATGATATAGTAAAAATCATGAACCAGAAAAGCAGATGTAGAAAGAGATCACTGAGTATTTTAAGAAGGTATATCAAAATTGTTCAGAACACATAACCTGTTAAACTATATTTACATCATTATATACAATTCTTCTGCTTACATAAAAGAAATCCTACATATTACATTTGTTGAATATTATGGCTTCATTACCTTATGATGAACTAATTTCTAAATGTTTTAATGCAAAACAAATTATTCATTCAAGCAAGTACTCATTTTTTAATGGTGGAATACCAGTTCATATTACATGGAAATTACATTATTAAAAAATAGTAGTTGATTTTGTATCTCAGCGTAATATAGTGCAAAACATTTACATAAAGTGTACATACTACAGGAAAAAGACCAATAGTTCACAAAATCATACTAACTTTAACAAAATCAAAAAGTAGAGCACCTTCTAGTTCACCAGCAACATTTCTAATGCATCATCATCAAGCTAACATTCCTTTGGAATTTAGTGTTATAGTAAACTTACTTTGACAAGAGTAAGTATAGGGTACTTCATTTCCAACTCTTCTATTGCTGTTACCATCAGTTAATATTTCTAAATTTTAATATTAAAAAACTTATTTTGGCAAGAACAGACATGGATTAATTAATTTCTATCTATTTTAGATTGTCACCATCAGTTGATATCTCAACGGTTTAATACCACAGATAACTTATTTTGATAAGAGAGGACATAGACTTATTCAGCCCTACTCTTCAATTGCTGTCACCATCAAGCTAGCTTTTCTCCAGAGTTTAATAATGTACTAAGCTTACTTTGACAAGAGTAGACATAGACTGATTCACTCCAAATTCTTCCATTGCTGTCACCATTAAGCTAGCTTCTCCTGTCTTGGATCTTGACTTCAGTAGTCCATTCCTGCTAACTTCAGCAGCTGAAGGTTGATCAACTGAGAGAATTTGGTAGCTTACTTGAGCAATACCATCTCTACAAAAATGGAGTTGAATGTTAAGTGCAATGTGTAATACTATTAAGCTACTATGAAGCTTTTTTGTTGAAAAATTAAAAGAAAAATGTATAATGAATATAAATTATAATAAAATAACAAAAAGTCTTCTCTGTCACATGCTATTGGCACACAAGTGTACTATATTGACATATCACTTCATGTCAAATTGTGTCATGTTCTTCTGTTAATCTTTTATGAACCAGAATGTGTCTTGATACCCCTTATTTTTTCCTTCTCAGAGTGAAATATTTATCCAAACTGCATGTAATTTAGTATAAAGTTACCAAACAGTTTAAACAATTAATATCTTATAATTTAGTATTCTACAGTTTTTTAGGTTGCAAAACTCCCATAATTTTTTGCAAGACACTGTTTTAACAAAACATTAAATATTTGTCCAGTTCATTTATTTTGCTCATTGTAGTAGTTATCACTTACAGCTATAAATCGTAAAAAACGTGACCTCGCCTTTCAAAATGGTATTTAACATTATCTTTTTTTCAGGATAGGTGTCATGAAATATTTGATCAAGATAATTTATTTAATTACATTTGATTAAATATAGTTTCTTTTCAATAAATAACACATTGTTTTATTTGTATGCATTGTTTGAATATTATAAATTTAATAATATTCAACACATAAGGATTTTAGTTCTTGGAATATTTTGTTATCAGCTACTGTATCCACTAAACTTAACTAAGCTTACTGTCATAGAAGAAAATTTTTGTAGTTTTCAAACAGATATAATTTATCAATAAAAAAAAAAATTTCTAAGCAAACTATAAAAAATTGAGATCCGTGGTTTGTTCTGACGTGCTCTAAACTTCCCATTAGATTTCTTTGTTCTCCCTTACAGGAGTTCTGGCTAGTCACTTTCTCAATGCCTTATTTACCCTACAGTGAGAAACATAGTTCATATTCTGCTCTAATTAGTCTTATTCATTCATTACCTAATTATTTAAAAAGCTCAACTAAATTATGAATTGCACAGGACACATCTCTAGACATCATAGAAGGGGTGGTAATAAAACCAGTAAAAACACAGAAGGAAAATCATGTGAGAAACAAACCAAGTATATTCTCATACAATATTAGTTTCATATCAACAATAGCTTTATACTTAAGAATGAGCATATGAAAGGGTTAATAAGGAATAAACTTAAAATTGTTTTTTAATGAAATTAGGGTTAAGTGCAGACTAAGACACGATGACAAGCCACTCAAAGTAGAAACTGCAAGAGGGAAAATAAAAATTAGATCAAGAAGAGCCTCTTGCTCTGGGGAAGAAAACTTTAAAGGAATACATACATATTACATCAAAGCATGACCTTCAAGAACCACTGATTAAGGCTTTAGTATTTTTCCTGTTAATTGATTATTCTTTGGTATACCAGTCAAAAGTCATATGATTTCTCTTTAAAAAATTCTAGTTAATTTTATTTCTAGGAAAATGTTATTCAACAATACCACAGGTCAGCAATCGAGTCTGAAAAGGTCACAGTATTATCACTGTTGAAATTGATTTAATTATTAGGAACAAGTAAATGTCAAATTCTTCCCATGCGTTTACAAGGCACATAAGGCTTTAGAACTCTGGTTCCATCGCTACAAGTGGATGAAAATAATTACCTATTCTTTCTGGACAGGATGCCAGTCCATCACAGCTTAACCCTAATTAACAGCTAAGTACCCACCATACAGGCTGAGTATACCGTAACAAGTGGGGTAAAGTGTCTTGTTCAAGAACATAACATTATGGTTCGGGCCAGTCTCGAACTCACAATCATCTGACTATGAGCCAAAAAATGTAAAGGTACTGAACCATGGTGCCTCTTTGGAACAAGAGCCGTACAATAATTTACATTCCTCCCAAAACTGAAGAACTATCAGAAACAAATATCTCACTCACCGGTTTGACTTCAGTTGGAGCTGTGTTTCAGGACTGATTAAAATATAGTTTCCAAATATAGGTGGTTTGGAAAGAGCTAGCTTGTCAAAAACCTGAAATAAAAACAAAATATGCAAAAGAATAAAAAATACAATTTATGAAATTTAAAGATGAGGTACTGAAAGAAAAACAAGTAGATCAAGATTAATCATAAATTCTGTTTGTTAATTTCTGAAACACATTTTGTGTATGCATATCTGATTCTATAAACATATTTCAAAGATTAAAAAGTCAAACTGATTATGTCTCAACAACCAAAGTTTAATTTTTTTCATTTTTTTTTAAGATGAAGAGTTTTCAAAAGATCCACTAAAATATGTTCTTTAGTTCCATCAGTAAGAACTTAATCACAGCTTAGACATACACACCTGTATCTGTATTTCATCTGTTAACGTACCACATTGATGGGTCTGATGATAGGAATGTGCTGTTACTCCAGTTGGATTCACGATAAGCCGAATTGTTACATGACCTGGTTGATGAGCTATAAGTCGAACAGCAAAACTGTTTTCAACCCCAAGTTGTATTCCACTCTGTTGGGACATTGTTATTATTATGTCTTCTATTTCAAATAATAGCACACACACACACTACTCCTAAGATAAAGTTTCCTAGACTGAAATTATTTTGACTTTCCTCTATAAACCTTTCAAATGTTCCAACTTCATTCTTATATTCTAAGAAATTCTGATTAACTAAACAAAAGATCATGAGAATTGTTGAGATAAAACCATTCAACAATGGCACAAACAAAACTTGTGGAAATTCTTCTATCTCTCAACTTTTTTTCATGGTTTTATTCTAATTTGTGACATCCTGCCAACAAAATTGGTAAAACCAAGAACTACTTTTATTAGGCTATTTCAGTAAAGTGTGGATAAAAATAAATGATACATTGTTCATTGATCGGGTTATTAAATTTTCTTACACTATAAAACTGTTACCTACAAGTCATGACAATACATCTACATAACTAACAGCTTAATTGGAAAGAAAGACCACCCAATCTTTAAAGTTAAAAAACAAAAGCAGCTCAGACTCAAAGTTATATATTGTTAATATTATATAATTATAAAAAAGTACTATAATCCATCTAGTGTTCTCAACAGTTTCCCTACAATTAGACATAAGATATTTCAACATTAAATATGTGATAAATGTGACCATCTCAATGGTCAGCAACACAAGAAACATACCTGGTGATAAACACTCTGCAAAGAAGCTACTTCTGGGTTGTTCACTGACCAATGAAATAGAAGCGATGGGATAGCAGTTCCAAAAGCAAAAGGAGACTCATGCTCATTTAAACCAAATGCATGGAAAGGAACCTGTCACATGTGAGGGACAAAATGTATTCAAATAAAGATAGAATGAAACAATTTAAAAATAAATGAAAGTTGTGTGTGTACATATAAGAACAACACGTTAAATATAGTTAAAAACACAACTAATATAAACAGTAATGAAAATAAATTGAAAAGAACAATATTAAATATTTGTAAGGAAAAAATGTGATGTAATGTTCAATAACTACTGTAAAAACAAATGTCATATAGCTTTTCATAGCCAGGTGTTTATGAATTTTAAGACAATAACTAAACTAAAACTACTGTTACCATTAAGTGTTATCCATAGATTACCTTGTAACTTAGACACTAATAAGAAATTAAAATATATCAACTGTATAATACTCTGAAATGTTAATACAAAAAACAACAATGGGAAAAAACCCAAAGAAGATTAAGATCACATTTAACAGCTAAAAAAAAAGATACTAAAAAACTAGATACTATATGACACTTTTAACTGTCAATTTTATAATTTCAGGTACAAATAAATTTAACTATTTGCACTTTAATGCAGATGTTATAAATATCTAGTATTGTAAATTATGCACCAATGTGAATTATCTGTAATTTGTCTAAGCTTTTTGTGTTCATCACAAGTTATGGCCAATTAGGTTGAAGTATCTCACATAAATTACCAATATGATTAATCAAAACCTATATTCCACAATTTCAGAAACATGCTGGTTTAATATACAGAAAGTAATTTTTACAATCATTATTATGCATAACAAATCCACAGTACTGGAAATAATTATGGAAAATCAAATGTGGTGATATAAAATTAGTAACTGTAATAGTAACTGTAATTAAATTTAAATGGTCATTTTTAACTTTAGTTCAGTGCAGTTTATTTCTGTACAAAAGTGAGAAAAATCTAATATCTATATTTTACACCCATTTTATTCAACGTCTCCAAAATTATTTCCAACAGTGCATATTTGATATAAAGAAACAATACAAGTGAAATAAAAATATTAACCAAACAATGAAATATTACACACGCGTCCAAATCGAAAATCTATATACCTTTGTCCCTTTTTCTATTCGAGTCAGTGGAGTGTGAATCCTTATACCATGAAGAGGAACAACATATATATCCACCTGGTCCTAAGTTAGAAAACATTGGTGATTTATGGAATAGAAAAAATTATACTGAAGACAAATTTTTGTTTTATGCACTTTCAGAAATCTACATATGCCTAAAAAACCTTTATAAATCACAAGCTAACTGGGAACTATTAGTTACGCATGTTTCTGTAGTCTATTTTGTTTATATCATTACCATGCAGAGACTTTCTAAGGTCACATTTAATAACAGAAATGCTCTCAACTTCTAGAAATTTGGTTCAATCATAGTCAAGCACAATACAATATCAAAGAATGTATGTTTCAGAAATTTGGACAAAGTATACAAGGGCTATCTGCACTAGCTCTCCCTAGATTTCAAGTGATGGGGAAGATAGCTGGCTATCAGCATCCATCATCAACTGTTGGGCTACTCTAACTGAAAAGTGGGATTTGATTATCACACTTATAATCTTTTGTTCTGAATTTCATGAAACAGATTACTCAGAAATTTAAGTATTAGTTGTATTCTTGTGATCGTAGTGAGGATAGAAAATCTCTACAAAAAAATCATGTTTAATTATTTTTCTCTATGTATGACTTATTTTTTTTTATTTAATGACAAGTTACTTGAAATTTTATAGACATTTATCAAAATATTACCCACAAAAACCCATACTTCTCATAACACTAAACATTTTAAGATTCAATTTAGTTGTATTTATATTTACACAGGTGAATTTTACAATTAAATCCCCCCAACCATAAAACAATCGGCATTTCGGGTATAGAATAAAAAAGTGTAGCATTCTATTTACCTTAGAATAAACAATAAAGGCACCCTTATCCCTAACATAGCCCACTGCTCTTGCTGTAAGTGTTGTATTTCCAAGTTTGGTGGCTGTTACAATACCAGCTCCCATCACTGTTGCAATGTTTTGGTCTTCGATAACATATTCAATGTTGGACTGAGGGTGGGGGCCTCCAACACAAGTTACCTGAGTATAAACATATTAAAAACTAATTTATTAAAATTGGCAATATTTTTGTGGAAGTACAATGTCTAGTTTTGTAAAAAATGAAAAGAAGAAAATTAAATACACAACATAATAAGATTAAAACATCCATTATAAATAATGAAAGTGGAAAAGAACTTTGAATGAACTATCAATTTAGCTGACATACATAATAAAAATTATAATAAAGAAACTAAAAAGTATTAAACTTTTAGAATTACTAACTAACCTGAAATGTGGCCCCTACAACAAGGGTTATGTTTCTTGGGTTAAGTTGAAGAGGAGGAAACACCTGGAAGAATAATAATAATCACTCACAATGTTTAACATGAAATCAATTTACCCCTTTATTCTTGACTAATGCTCCCTCTAAGATGAGCAGATGCATGGCCACGAACCAATCTAGCATCAAAAACAACAATAGGCCACTCACAAGTTAATGAATTGGTAATAATTTTGTGTTGAAAACATAAGCCTACAATATAAACAATACCATGTCAAAATGTATGGGAGGAGTACAGGTGCCAACAGCCATTCAAATAAAGTTCTTTGCAGCGTTTAAAGAGAAATGGTTTTTGAAAATGATAGAAACTGCCTGTGGACAGAAAATTAGTGCTAAGAGGAGTTTGTAGTTTGCCTAGTACAAAAGAAAATTAGAGGGAACATTGTTCTTGACTCTTTTTGGATTACATGTAGTGTAAAAGTAACACAAGTAGCTATAATCATAGTATACTCATACCTGTACTGGTAACAAGGCACTTGAGACAAGTTTACTATGGTAGTCAGTTTCTTGAATTGGTGGTTTATCTGATCCAGCTATAAAAGTCAATGAGGTCTGTCCTAACGAATCTCCTGACACAATATATTCTGCACTGTATGAATGCGGATCTGGAAGCATATTTAACCTGTCAAGTGTAAAATAAAATTAAACCAATGAAAAGTATCTCCAGATTGTCAAAATATACGTATGTATGGTTTTAATTTGAGAACTTCAAACATTTTTGAACTAAACTTACATGGGTAAGAACTTAGCTCCAATGACAACAGGGCCAATGCTGAACTAATTAAAGTGGTAATTACCATGTAGTTTCTATAATCAGTTTAGTACTCACTCACTGCCATGGTTAGTGAAGTCTGAAATTCTTTGGACTTATTCAACAATTCACATATATTGCTGATCAATCGTATAGGTGTTCTAGATGGTTATTATACAACATACAGGAAAGTAAATTTGTTTCAAAGCTGTGTAGTTTTACACATTGACATGTAATTACTTCAAGATTTTGTTCACCTAACTGGTTTTGTGCTATAATGGAAATCTTTAAATCATCAGACTCTTGAATATTGAAACAAAATTATTTTGCTTACACTCAATTTATAAGATTTCAAACTAACTTAAAAAGTAAACAAATTCTAAAGATTAAAGAAAAACTGCAAATTAAAGAAAACATGTATATAAAAAATCAAAAATATGTTGGAAATTTTGAAAATTCTGAAAGATATTTACCAAGATTTATATTTTCAAACGAAATTTCGTGAAAGTAGAAAATTCTTTAAAACAACCTTTACATAACTGTATTAACTCTTCCAGTGCAAAGTTTACAGATAAACAAATCTCCCAGTGACAGGTTCCTTTTTGATACACAATAAAAAATAAAATGACACGTTATAATATTCATTATCTATTTGAAACTTTCAATTGGCAAACTCCGAGAAGTTCAAATAGTTTTACCCTTTCTTCACGATGGCACAGAATTACAAACTCGCATGATATTATTATCACAGTTTTTCAGGTTATAAAGTATGTCCAACATGTTCATGGCAGTGAAAGAGTTAATCAAAAAGATCATATTTTAATGAAAACAAATCAATATACTTGACAGAAATTATGTTAGATGAAGAAACTGGGCGAAGGTTCATCAAAGAAAACACTGAAGCTGGAAGGTTTTTCAACTGAGCATCTAATACTTCAACAGTAGCGATAATCGTTTTTCCAACTTCCACCTGTAATAAATATTCATCTAGTTATATTTTCATTGTTTGTTCCTGAACTTCAAGCATCAAAAAATGAAAGAAACAACTTACTGCACAACAATCAAAAAACTTATCATTTCTTAAATATGAAAGTTAAAAAATAATTATAGGCTATCTAGTTAAAATATTATTTTAATTTTTACCATTGATGACACATTTTAATATCCTTTAATATAAATTTATAAAAATAATATTTTTGGATTATATTATTTTCACTTCTTTCAAATTAGTTTCATTGTGTGAATAAAATTTTATAGTAATGTTTGTTTGTTTTTTGGAATTTTGCGCAAAGCTACACGAGGGCTAATTTAGCAGTGTAAGACTAGAGGGAAGGCAGCTAGTCATCACCACCCACCGCCAACTCTTGGGCTACTCTTTTACCAACGAATAGTGGGATTGACCGTCACATTATAACGCCCCCACGGCTGAAAGGGCGAGAATGTTTGGTGGGATGCGGATTCGAACCCGCGACTCTCAGATTGTGAGTCGAGCGCCTTATCCACCTGGCCATGCCGGGCACATTATAGTAATGAAAAGTAATAAAGGAGATCATTATGATACATTTAAACTTTAACTCTTTAAACCCAAAATTTTTTGCATGTTCTATCTGAATTATTTTCACAATTTCCAAATAATTATACCTCATAAAACTTCAATTTTCTTACTTTTGTGGATAATAACATAGTTTGGATTAGTTTTCAGCCAACAAGACATAAATGTTATTGGACGCTGTTACCATCCAATTGGGTAAACCAGGATTTTCAGCCAGATGCGGGCAGAATCCACTTGGGTTTAAAGAGTTAAAGAGATGGAGTGCTTATTATACTTATAAAATTTCTAATAGTTTCACAGCTAAGCATATACAAAAATCATGCTTTAATTTCTGTTTGCAAATAATGTACTTGAAATGAAATGTACATCTTTAAATCAATTTTTCAAAAACAATAAAAATCGTAAAATTTTTTGTTTGACATAAAAAAGTACCTTGTCAATCATATCCACATTAATAGCTGAAATTCCAGATATATGCACATGTGCTAAACCCAACACTCTAGGTTCCAGGCAGAGGTCATGAGCAGTAATGGTTATTGAGCCATCTTTAACTGGTGTTACCTATTTTGAGAAAAAAAAACAATACATTGACTTTCCCATCAGGGATTATCATAAAGAAATTCACAATTAAGTTACAAAACTAGTTTTTAAAAAAGCATAACTGCACTACTACAAAAACTATAGTTTATTAAATAAAATTTAATACAATTTTAAAGAGATGAATGTTTTAATAATTTTCAACATGCTAGAAACTGAAAAGTTATGGTGTACTTCAAAGATTAACCAACATCAAGTTTTTAATTTCCATCCACGTACCTGAATTATTTGTGATGAACCATCATATTCCACCATAGCTTTACTGGGATCACTGGTTTCAATAAAGAAATAGCCCGATCCTCTTTGGACTGTCAGTGAAATCTAGTGTTAGAGAAAAAAAAAAACGTTTATTAGTTTTCTAACAGAATACAAATCTGTTACAACACTGGAAAACATTCAAACCAAAAATAAAGACAGAAAAGATAAGATACAATTGAGTTTTAATTTGTTTACTCATATATCTTGTGGTATCAATAAAACAATCTCAAGCAAACAAAATTCCATTTCCGCATCATTCTACAAGATATTGTAAATGTGATAACTAAGTTTTTGAGAACTGGCAGGTATTATTATTATGGAAGAATGAATTTTATTGATGCTAAAAAACAATTGAGAAATTCAATAAAAAATTCATTGAAAAGTACTTTAATTTTTACATACATTTATGCAAACTGAATTACGAGGAAGCTATTGTTTCCACCTGTTATGCAATAAATAATTTTCAATGCACGATGACTTTTAAAGCATAGATCCAAATGTTCTTTTGAAATGTTATTTTAGTGATGATTTAATAACAATATAGAGGTTGAGTACATTATATTAGTGATTTTGGGGCCTCATCACATTGTTACAGTCCTTGTTGCCATATACAATCATGCACCATCTGATGACCAAGCATCTTGAAAATAGTACTGCAGTATAGTTTTCACTTCAGAAGACTATGTCATAAGGCTATGATGTCCTAAGCTCACCCACTCCTTCTTGAATATGTTCCATAATCCTCTAGTTTCAACAGTAACAAAGAAATTCATAATTGCTGCATCCACTGGCATGACTAGTTTGGAACAGTCAACATAGCCATTTCATTCTCTAGTTGCTTGAGATATGTGACAATTGAGCAGGTATGTCATGGAAGAAGCTTGCGTATATGTGACTTCTGTCATTTTCCTAGTTGAAGATCTGTCTTTATTATGTTGAGTACTGTTGCCTGGGACACATGAATGGCTTTTACCCCTTGACCTTTGTGTCTATAGATTCTCACTCGTTACAAGACACCCTATTTTGCCTATCACAGCTGGTTTCAAAACTTGTTGCTGGTATCTTCCTGAATGATTTTGATGGCCCAAGTTCTTCAAGATTCCTTTGCTTTCCAATTTTATTGAGTACAATGGATACCTAAATCCCAGATCTGAACACATATCTTTATGATCTCAATGTATGAATATTTTGCATTAGAAAGGCTGTTACATACCATCATAAGAGAACTACTTTTGATGGCACCACACTACCCACGAATTGCCAAACAGTATCAAAATGTACTTCTGATACATATCATTCTACCACAATTTCATGGCAGGAGTGGTTGTCACATAATTGATGAATTCTATATTCAAATACTGTTCTCAACCTTCTATAACAATAAAAAAAAAAGTTTGTTTTCTTCAAAGAGGTGTCATTTCTTATGATGCACATGCATTGTTTCCAAAAATATTTCACCATAATTGTTATGATTGTTCTCATGTGTTCTCAAAACATTTTACAAATTCCAATTGCTAGCAATCTTAATATAATTATTTATGAAACATAAATAAAAGTAAATATTTAATAACCAGAGAGTTGTAAATAGCTTCCTACGTGATTTCAGTACCCTTGTTTGAGAGCAGTTACATTGGGTTATGTGTTGTGTCCACCATAGTGAATCAAATCCTAGATTTTAGTCCAGAGATTTACCACCAGGGAACTAAAGGAACAGAATAGTTTGTATGAAGTTAAGCCCAATGAACTATCTGTGCTGGCATTAAAACCCAGTTTCTAGCATTATAAGTCTGCAGACTTATCACTGTGCTGCTGGGGGGCTTTTGATACCATCAGTATCCTTTATATAAAACTATACAAATTTACATTTTCAAAATAAATTACTAATCACAGATCAAACATGACTGCAAATTTTAAAAATACTTGATAATACTGGCCTTTTAAATAGTTACATGACTTTAACAACTCACTCCACTTAGAACCATGTAATATTTGAACAACACATAATTACCAACAGATGTTTATCTTGTTATTAACATTTGATTGTAAACATGTCTTACAGGGGAAGAGATATGCACACAATGCTGAAAATTTAGTCCCACAAATTAACTTTTTTCTTTCTGAAACGAAATCTGCTTTCATTGAAATGAATATTAACATATGATGTAGAACTTGTTCCATCCAATATTCATTTATATTCAAATTTACTGAGTTGATTGATACTGTTGCACGTGTGTACATAAATATATAAAATATTTTTTTTTTTTTAGATGCTGTATGCCGTGGTCAAAACCTACCAATATATTCAAAAATTTGCTGATGTTGCTTATGAATCCGAAAATTTTTTGACATATCATAACTGGGCTTTGTAAGACTTAAACCAGTTGTGGATTACTATATTTTGAACAAAGATTTAGAATATTTTTCTTGCAAGAAAATACAAACTTGATGAGTGTCATTTTACAGCAGTTTGAGGAATTTAAAATAGTGAACAAACTATCATATCATGTCAGCAGAAAGCTCAATGAACATATGATTGATGTATTTAGGATACTGTAGCAGACTTTTTTTCCAGAACATAAGTAATAAGTATTTTAATCAGGACATGATTACTTAAAAAAATCTTTTCTATGCACAAAAATAGTATATTACTTTTTCAAATAACATCTGAAGTATTTTGAAAATTAGTAGCCCTCTGGTGCTTTCTCCTGTCTCTTTTTCTTATACATTCGACAAACGTGATGTCCTTTAATTGCACAATAATTTAACGAAATGTAGAAAGTTAGAGCATCAAACTAGGTTAAACTCTGGACCTTTTGTCATAAAATATGAGTGAATAATTACTTTTCTATTGGAAATTCATGAATTTTCTTTTACTGAAAAATAAATGAAACTAATGCTTCTAAACTTTGCTCATCTTTCACTGATGTATGCTGTAATTGCTTAAGTCAGCAAAATTCATCCTGTATAGGAAACAAAGTTAGACTTACAGCAAGAAGGCCTAAGTATAGAAATTAAAACCTTATCTCCTTTTCTTTCAACAGGAAGTTGCAATTTTTTTTTAAAGATTATTATGACCAAAATACTAATATAATTACATAACTTCAAACTACTAGGCCTACAAAACATTATGAAGAGATCTTACAAGCTTTTCACCATTGCTGGAATCCATCTTCAAGAAAATTCATACAGCTTGCAAGATCTTTTCATGAAGTTAAACATACTAACTTCTGGATATTGGTTAGTAGGTGATTTAAATACAGTGGAGAACATTGCAATGTTACATGTTTTTGCTGTCAGACTAAAATAATTGTAGTGTTCACACTACTGCCTCATCATCACTGGGTGTATACACCAAACGTTACTATGTATAATAAATGTAAACGATTCAACACACTATTGACAAGGATAAAACAGTAAATAAGGACTGTTGTTCTTTAAATTGTTCTCTTTCACTACAAATGTATCATGATTTTCTACAAGTGAATTTATTCTTTCAGAATCTGCTTGATTCTCGATGCACGCACGATAATTTTTACATATGCATTCTTATCTTTAACCAACCTACACACAAAAATATTAACTACGTACATTAGACTATTTTATTATATATTAGATTATTTCATTCTTCCTTCAAAGCACAATCACAGATGTTTCACATATAAAAACAAAAGAAAACTTCTCCATGGCAAATACAGCCATTTGTGTTGAAGATATGTTCATTCACACAGTATGTATTCATCTCAGTATGTCCATAGTGTTCTACTTATTCTAGTTATTGTCACAGATCAAGTCTTTAACATTCTAGATTCACTAATTACCATGCACAATTTCAATAAATCCAAACTGAATGGATAATATATTTTACAGTGCTTTTTTAACCCAAAATTTGACTTGTAGTAAATTTCAATATATGTTTATAAAATATACAAATATCCTGCATCCTTTCACTAATAAACTTTTAGTGGTTAATCCACCCTGCTGACCAATTTGCCATCCTAATTGTTGGATAATCAAGCGGCTCTCAAACTGTCTTGTAGACACACCCTCTCATAAAATGGAACAAGACAGCTTGTAAAGTAAGGGCCTTAATGTTTTTTCAGTCACTGATTTGCTGATCATTCACCTGCCTAATTATTTTGTGTGTTGTCTCTTGTTCAGCCACAGTGAATTGGTAGTCAACATTGCCACCCTGGTTGTGCAGAAGAGTACCTCATATAGTCTGGAAACATCTACTCTTTGGCTAGAATTCTACCATCCTTCCAAACATCATGTTCCTATGGCAAATAGTGTCACTGACCGAGACTTAATGAACATGAGATTCACTATAGCTCATAGTCTTAAGACTTCTCTCATCATGAGAAGGTTATTGGCTGATCCAGAGTACTTAATTATAAGTGGCATGCTCACAAAGTTTTACAGCACAATATAACATGGGCAGATCTGAGCCTATTTCCAAAACTCTCTGAATTTACTTGTAATCCTCTTGATTTATAGCACTGGGACTTGCTGGCAAATGACACGAGACAATAAGTGTAACAAATTATGATAATGGATAAGTATTTGGTAAGATGATCATAGAGTGATTAGAGTAAAAACTGCCTTTGTTAGCGTTGTTCATAGCAACAGAAAAATAAGTAATGAATTACATGATGAAAAAATATTTAATTCTCCTTAGTCAAATTAACAAAAATTTAAGGAATAGCGTTTACATTACCTTTCGTTTTACACACTTAGAATTTTGTACTCATGCATTAAAGAAAAAAAAAAAGTACGTTTGTTTTTTAAAAATAAAATTATCCAATTAATTTTACTTCTCTTCATAATGATATACAGTACATCTGTTTGTTTTGTATTTCGTGCAAAGCTACACGAGGGCGATCTGCACTAGCCGTCCCTAATTTAGCAGTGTAAGACTAGAGGGAAGGCAGCTAGTCATCACCACCCACCGCCAACTCTTGGGCTACTCTTTTACCAACAAATAGTGGGATTGACTGTCACATTATAACTCTCCCACGGCTGAAAGGGCGAGCATGTTTGGTGTGACGGGGATTCAAACCCGTGAC